GGCGGAGAACCCGGCGGCCGCTTCACAATGAAAATCCACATGCCACTGACGATGTTCGCCCCTGGAGGGGGAACCTCGTCGACGTAGGTGCCTGTGGACTTCTAGGATGCCATCTCTGCGTCCATGGCTGACTGCCACTGAGAGGAGTAGGGACCCTCTATCGCCTCTGCGTAAGAGCGAGGGGTCGGGATGTCTGGTGCATCCGGGTGTCCCTCAGGTGCAATCAGCATGGACACGAGATGAGGTACAACGGCTGCAAAGCACTCAAAGTCCTCCTGCCTGTCCTCAAGGACGTCCGTGCCAAGAGCACACTCACCCCCGACGGACGGAGGACAGACAGACTCAGACTCAGCAACAAGACTCGCCGCGTAGTCTAGACGACAGTGAGAAGCAAAGTCAACAAGCTCAGCAACTAAGGCAGACGCAGCAGTGGACTCAAAGGAAGGGTCAATGACAACAGTGGCCAGTGTAAGGAGAAGGAGTAGGCAGAGGGGAGGCGGGCTGCAACCGTGACTGCAACTGGACAGGCGGTGGACACTCTAAGGAAGGAGTAGGACTAGTAGAAGGCGGAAGACCAAGAACCTGCTGAAGGAGCGGAACGTAGTACGGCCGCGGCCGCGCAGCGCCTCCAGAACCAGCAGGGACTGCACCAGCAGCCCCAGTGGGAGCTCCAACTCCAGCAGCACCACCAGCTCTAGCAGCACCTCCAGCTGCTCCAGTAGCGCCAACTCCAGCACCCACAGGAGCACCGGCTCCAGCAGCACCTCCAGCTCCAGCACCTCCAGTAGCTCCAGCTCCAGCAGACCACTAGAAGACCCAGCAGCTCCAGCTCCAGTACCTCCAGCAGTACCTGCTCCAGCAGCACCGCTAGCTCCAGCACTGCCAGCAGCTCTAGAGTCAAGAGCTACCTCGACATGCTCGACAGCGTCTACCTGGGACACACCTGAGGGGGCAGGACCCTGAGGGGGGAGGGGGTCTACCGGGGGAGGACCTGACACGAGGAAGAGCGGCGGGGGGGGGGGAGGGGGGCAGTGTGGTAGGGGAAGAGACGGTAGTAAGGAACCGACTCATCGAACGTGACGTCCTGAGAGGACAGAACACGGCGCGAGGTGGGGTGGTAAAACTGCCAACCAGGCGCGTCAAGGGGGAAGCCAAGGAAGACGCAGGGAACAGCACGGGAGGACAGCTTGTCCGCAGACAAAGTCGTGGACGAAAGCCCAAGATCCCCAGACACGAAACGCAGACGCATCGCCAACCTTCCCCGTCCACCGCAGAGTAAGTGTGGTCTCCGGCAAGGAGACACGAGGCTGAAGGTTGATCTAATGCGCAGCGTACTGAACCGCGAACGGCCACAGAAAATGGGGAGCAGCCGCATGGATCATGGACGTACGAGCGACGTCCATGACCATGCCAATGCGGCGCTCAGCAATCCCATTTTGCTGTGGAGAGGCCGGAAGGGTGAACATCTGTCGGATGCACTCTGCACGACAGAAGGCTCGCAGAAGGTTGGAGGAAAACTCTCCACCTCTGTCGGAGTGCAGACACAGAACAGGAAGGTCCGAGCCGAAACTCTCGCTGAGCTGGCGACGGGCTGCGCGGATCCAGTCGATCAGCACCTCAGTGACCTCACCCTTGCGGTGCAAGGGGAAGTCTGTGGTGTAACGCGAGTAGTCGTCAACGACGAGCAGAAAGTAGCGCTCGTGACCCTGTCCATGGACGCGGGCTGGGCCCCACACGTCCATGTGAAGAGTCTGCAAGGGAGCCTCCGTCGGAGGGAACTCGGAGGAGTGAGGAGCGGCGCACTGCCGCCCCTCGACGCAAGGAACGCAGGTAGGGGCAGGTCCCGGGGGGAGGGGAGGGAGAGACCGGGGAAGACCAGTGACAAGGACATGGGAGGCCATGCCTCGGAGACGAGGCAGGGAGGGGTGACCAAGGCGGTGGTGCCAGAGGAGAGTCTGGTGAGACAGGAGGCGACACGAGCAGGGGGCAGACTCAGGACCAAACCGGGAGGCTGCAGCAAACACCTGACCCGACGCTGCAACCTGACCAGATGCTGCAACCTAACCAGACTCAGCAACCGGAGGAGTCACAGTAGTCAGGGTGTACAGGCTCGACCCAGGCTGACGGGTGAACGTGGCCAGGTGCCGGCCCGTCCGTGTACACGAACAGTGGGTCACCCGCTGACCTCCAGGAGTGAACTGGTCAACCGATGCGTCCTAAAGGTCAGCTCCACTCACCAAGTTCGTGGAGAACGAGGGGAGGTGGAGGCCAGACAGAGAGCCAGACGGGACCGCCGGACACAGCAGAACCGTGGAGGAGTGTGCAAGGACCGGACCCCCAGAGGGGTCTGCCAGAGAGACTGCCACTGGCCGACTGAGCGGCGAGAGTGTGGTGCAGTCGCGAAAGAAGGAGCGGGAAGCACCCGAGTCAAGGGTGAAAGTGTGCAAGGCCGCAGCAGGCGCAGTACTAGAGAGAGAAGACACACCAGCACCTGGAGCAGTGGACTCACTAGCGCCTAGAGCAGCAGCCTCACCAGCACCTGGAGTAGGAGACACGCCAGCACCTAGAGCAGCAGCCTCACCAGCACCTAGAGCAGCAGACTCTATACCTGGGTCAGGCGGCACACACAGGTAACAGTCAACCTCAGCACTAGTAGGCAATGCATACATGGCAGTGAGGATAGCATCATAGTCAAGAGCAAAGATATCTTCCCTCCGCCTAAGCAGATTCAGCCAGGAGGGGAGCTCAGCGTCGTCGCCAAACTCTATACGCCAGGCGTCGCTCAGAGAGGAGAAGCAGCGGGACTCTGTGTGACCAACCGTCCCGCAAGGCTAACCAGCCCGAGCACCAGTGCGAATGACGTACGGGCAGCGCACAGTACTCCGTGACCCTCTACTCTGAGCGTACCACTTACGAAGCTGCTGGGGCGAAAGAGTCGCGCGCGGACGCTGCTGCAGCTGCACTTGGTCACTACAAGAAGCTCCCGAACGACCAGCGCCAGGGCGACTCCCACCACGGCCACCCCTACAACCCCAACTAGCGTACCACTCACGAAGCTGCTGGGGCGAAAGGATCTCGTGCGGACGCCGTTGCAGCTGCACCTGGCCACTACAAGGAGCTCCCGAACGACCCGCTCCAGGGCGACTCCCACCACGGCCACCCCGACAACCCCAACTAGTGTACCACTCACGAAGCTGTTGGGGCGTGAGGGACTCACGCGGACGTCGCTGGAGCTGCATCTGGCCACCGCTAGTTGCAGCTGTAGCAGTAGTAGCAGTAGTAGCAGCAGTAATAGCAAGAACAGCAGCAGCAGCAGCAGCAGCAGCAGTAGCAGCGCGGGCAGGGCTGTGCCGCTCAGTAGAGCAGGGCTGCACAGCTCGGCAGCACGACGCGGCTCAGCGGGGCGGCTCGGCGCGGCTGAGCAGCGCGGCTCAGCTGGGCGGCGCGGCTCGGCTAGCAGGCAGGCGCGGCAGGAGGCAGGCAGGCCGGCGCGGCAGTGCGCTAGTATGGCAGGCACGCGGGAAGCGCGGGTAGGGCAGGTGCTCACCAGTGGCGGGAAGGGCCGACGGCGGTGTCGGCAGGGCCGCGACAGCTGCAGGGCGGGGCCGTGACGGCGGCAGGGGGGCTCCGCAGCAGCTGCTGCAGGGCGGGGCCGCGACTGCTGCGGGGGGCTCCCGGCGGCTGCTGCAGGGCGGGGCCGCGACAGCGGCAGGTGGCTCCGCGGCAGCTGCTGCAGGGCGGGGCCGCGACTGCTGCAGGGGGGGGGCTCTGCGACACGCACGGACGGCGCCCAGGGGGCGCCGCGACGAGCAGAGACGGCGCCCAGTGGGCGCCGCGACGAGTAAGGGCGACGCCCCGGGGGCGCCGCGACGAGCAGAGTCGGCGCCCAGGGGGCGCCGCGACACGCAGGGGCGACGCTCAGGGGGCGACGCCCCGGAGGCGCCGCGACGAGTAGGGGCGGCGTCCAGGGGGCGCCGCGACGAGCAGGGGGGGACGCCGCGCGGGTCCCGCAGGGGCGTCGCGACAAGCAGGAGCGACGCGCTGTTCGGCAGGGCGGCGCGCGGGTCGCAGGGGCAGCGCTCACGGGCTGCAGGGGCTACGCGCGCGGCTCGGGAGGGCGGCGTGCGGGCTGCAGAGGCAGCTCCCACGGGCTGCAAGGGCGACACGCGGCCCGACAGGGCGGCACGCGGGCTGCAGAGGCAGCGCCCACGGGCTGCAGGGGCAGGCACGGCTGCAGGGGCAGCGCCCACGGGCTGCAGGGGCAGGCACGGCTGCAGAGGCAGCACCCACGGGCTGCGGGGGCAGGCACGGCTGCAGAGGCAGCGCCCACGGGCTGCAGGGGCAGGCACGGCTGCAGGGGCAGCGCCCACGGGCTGCAGGGGCAGGCAGGGCTGCAGAGGCAGCGCCCACGAGCTGCAGGGGCAGGCACGCTTGCAGGGGCAGCACCCACGGGCTGCAGGGGCAGGCACGACTGCAGAGGCAGCGCCCACGGGCTGCAGGGGCAGGCACGGCTGCAGGGGTACCACGGTCGCAGGGGCAGCACGCGGGCTGCAAGGGCAGCTAAAAAATAAAATTTCCAGTTAGGACAGGGCGGAACGTTCGGTGGGCCCTAGGAACGATTCTGCTCTAATACCATGTGAGAATAAGAACGAGAGAATGACTAGAAACAGGGCAGTACAAGGTTTGTATAGGCAAAACCTAACAATACTGTACCCCATAAGGAGTGTCCCACTACAGCCTACAATATGGTTCTGACAGAAGTGTACTTGGGGAAACGTAGGGTGACCTCCATAGTTGGCTCGGGAGCTTCTCAAACCGCCTTATTGCGCGTGATAGTTAGGAATCTTGGGCTACCCAACCTCCAAGATACCGCCATATATTTCACCACATCTAGTGGAGAGACTTTGAAGCCGTGGGGACTCTTGCCGCATGTGCCGGTTAGGGTGGGAAAGATGACTCTAACGGTGGATATAGCAATGACGGGAGCAAGCACCAACGTCATGCTCCTAGGGCAGGATTGGATGTGCTCGGCCAACGCGGATATCCTAACCAGTAAGGGGAAGATCGTGTATTCGGTCAACACCAAGGAAACCGACTCCGTGCCCATCACCACAGGGCCATTGGGAGTTGGTGGCCACCCCTCTTTTATGCTCCTCCCCTCCCACACATCCTACAAAATGCTTGATGAGGAGGACGAGGAGCACATCAAGGCGGGGAGTGAGAAGTCATAGCGGAGGAAGAAGGGAGGATGGAGCTGAACAAGGAGGAGGATGAATATTACCTATGATTAAGAGAGCAGGAGGAGGAGAAAGAGGAGGCTCGAGTGCGGAGGGATCTGAGGAGGAAGGAGTGGAGAAAGGGGAGCTTGAGGTGGTAAGAGGAGGGGCATAAGAGGTAAGGGGACACGACTTTGGGAGTTTAACGGCAGATGAGACTGGAGCGTGGGATCGAGGAGAAGGCTTTCATTGGGAGAAGGCTCACGATGAGATGGTGGAGAACTACGTAAGAGAGAGGACGAGATCGAGCGGGAATTTGACTCCATGGCGGATGGAGAAGAGTATTTGGATTGTGAATGGGAGGAAGGGGAGCTGATCTATCATAAGAGGAAGAAGAGGGTAAGTGCAGACCACTTCGAGTTATACAACTACTCGGCAGCAGAGAAGTGGAACTACGTTGTAGCCGAGAGTGGAGACGAGGTGGAGGATCATCATAAGAAGCTATTAATCCTTCACGAAGGAGGCACCTAGGGTAGCTTGCTCCGAGTTTGAACACCTACCCATTTAATTTGAACCACGAGTTAAAAGAGCAGTAGCAAAAGGAGGTACAGCCGCTCTTGGTGGAGTATAAGGAGGTCTTTTCCATGAAGAAGAAGATGCTAGGGACCCACCTCACCATCTGCCACCACATCACCACTAGGAGTGCCAAGCCCATAGCCCATAAGCCATACCATCTAACACCATTCGAGCACGCTAGAATCGAGGAGGAGGTCCAAACCTAGCTCGAGCAAGGGGTCATTCGCTCTTCGGACAGTCCTTGGTCCTCCCCGTGCATAGTAACCCTTAAGAAGGACTTCCAGGATAGGGTAGTAGTCGATTATCGCTCGCTCAACCCCGTGGCCAAAGCAGCCGATCAATTTCCCATGCCATGGATAGACGACAGACTCGCTCCATTTCTCGGTGCTAGATGTTAAATCCGCCTACCACACCATCCTTGTGGCGGAGGAAGATATCCCTTATACGGCGTTCGCCACCTCCTCGGAGCAGTACGAATACGTAAGGATGTCATTTAGGCTTAGAAACGCACTTGCCACCTTTCAATGGCTCATGACCACCACATTTTGCACCCACGCCAATACAACTCCCTTCCTTGATGACATAATTATCTTCTCAAACAGTTGAGGAGGATCATCTTAAGTACCTACGGGATGCATTCGAAAAGATCAAGGAGAATCACCTTCAGCTGAAGTTGAACAAATGTGAGCTGGATTTTTATTCCACCATCTACCTAGGGCACTTGGTGAAAAGGGAGGGAGTGAAGAAGGATGGAGGGAAGGTTGAGGCGATTAGCAACATGGGGCGCACGAGTTACAATCGGAGGTTCATCAAGGGGTATGCCAATTTGGCACACCCTCTCACGCAACTGCTCCATAAGGACCACCCCTTCGAGTGGACTCTCGAGAGCAAGCACGCCTTCAACGCTTTCAAGCTCGCCCCCATCCCCCCCCCCTATGCTTGCATCTCCAGATTTTTCGAAACCCTTCGTACTCCGAACAGATTTTCCATGCAAAGCATTGGGGGCCATCTTGGCTCGAAAACACGAGAAGGGAGCAGAATGGGTGGTGGGTTATGCTAGCCGGACAACAAAGGGAGCGGAGTGGAGCTTGTCAACTCATGGGGAGTGTTTGGCGGTGGTTGCTGCGATTATACACTACATGCCCGATCTCTACGGGAGCAGATCATTGTTGGAGACGGATTGTCAAGCACTTCAATGGCTCATGATGGCACAAGAACTCACGTGAAATTTGACAAGGTGGAGCTTGTTGCTGTAGGAGTACAACTCCACCATCACCTACCAGGCTTGAGAGAGTCATAGGAACGTAGATGCGTTGAGCCGCATGCAACAGTGGTTGCATCTACGTTCGGGGGCGGGGGGGGGAAGCACCATCACATAACCATGCACGCATTCCGTCATTCATCCACCCCCTCCTCTACAACAGCTGCCCCAAAGGAACAGGGTGAAGAAGAAGAGGGGGAGAGTAGCAAGTCGATGACCATGGGAGAAAAATGCGATAAGGAGAAGGAGAAGAATAGCACGGAGGAGGACAAGGAGGGAAATGATGATGGCAAGGAGGATGAGAAGGAGGAAGAGGTGTATAGTACAGACAAGGAGGAAGAGGGAGACAAAGGAAAAAAAGAAGAGGTATAGGAGGAGAGTAGTGAAGATGAAGAGGGAGAAGTAGTCGGAGAAGAGGAGGAAGGTGGGGAATTTGAGAAGGTTCAACGGCCGGATGAGTTGGAGGAAGAAGAGCAGCTGCTAGAGGAGATAGAACAACATAAGAAAGAGGGAGAGGAAGAAGAGGACGGGACCCCGAGCAAGAGTCCCGCGTGGGACGACGCCAACACCTTGTCTTCTTGGAGGTTGTGGGAGCGGTTGATCTTACATGGAGAATGGTGGAGAAGAGGAGAGTGAGAGCAAGAGGTAAGTACTAAGGAGGATCAGAACGAAATTAAAGTTGATGTCTAAGGAGGAGGAAATGAGGGAGTTATAGCATTTCTTCATGGGTTGGGGCACTTGGGTGTACTAAGGAGGATCTGGTCAAGCAGCAGGGTAATTGGTACGGAGTGAGGAATGATGTGGTGGCATTTATGAAGGGGTGTGCAACGTGTGTCTTTCATAAAGGGTCATGGATGGCGAAGGTAGAATTGCAGCCGGTACCGATCTCTAAGCTATAGGAGAGGGAGGTGATGGATTTCATTGGGCCACTACATGAAACGCCGAAGGGAGGGAACAAGTACGTCAGCTCGGCCATGGACCACTTCACCAAGTGGGCGGAGTGTAAGCCGATGAGGAGTACGGATGCGGCAACAACAGTGGCATTTGTAACAGGGAATATTATCTCCAACCATGGCTGTCCGTTGGTGATTCATACGACAACAACACACACTTCAAGGAGATTTTGGGGTGCAACCAAAGAAGTTTGGGGTGCTCTCAACCGAAGCATCCTCAAAGTTTATGTTCTTGCTTTGGAGATGGAGATGTTGGAGAAGGGAGATTTTGTTTGGATCAGACCGATCAAGAGGGTGGAGTGGGAGAAGCAGGCTCTGAGGTTTGAGATGATGTTCAAGGTGAATGAGGTGGAGCCGTTCCATGTGTTGGTAGAGGATAAGGCAGGAACTATGTGGAGGGAGTCTCAAGAGAACGTGAAGTCCGTGAAGGTAGCACCTTAGATCCACACCCCCACTCTCCCCGCGAAGTATAGACCACCTATACAACCCCCCCACTCCCCCCGCGAAGTAGACCGTCTATACAATCCCCACTCTCCCCGCGAAGTAAAGGACCGCCTATACAACTCCACTCTCCCCGTGAAGTATATGAACGCCTATACAACCATACGCTCTTGCTCATTTTCACGCGCTGAGTAGGCTACTAACGATCAAGCGAACTCGGCGACTAGGCAACCACAGCGGTCAAGCGACCTTAGGCTACCTTAGAAGACATGTGGAGAAGAGCAGTTCAAGGTAGTGTTCTTGAGGGTGTTGGTGGAGGGGAGTGCGGGAGCATCTTGGATGCGGTTGATAGATAAGGACGACCCAGGGTTGGAAGGTAGGAGCTTGGAGGTGAAGAAAGGAGGAGTGAAACTGGCGGTGCGGTAGGATGGGCAATTCCTCTTCCGTACCCCTTTCTTTCTCCTGCTTCTTTCCAGGTTCTCAGTCTCCCTTTCTTTCTCCTGCTCCTTCCTGTTCTACTGCCCCCATCTCCTCGCTCACGGCCATGAAGGCCCATCCTTCCAAGATCCTACCTTCCTCCTACTCCTTGATGGCGTGCAGCTGCCTTCTCCTCCTCCCCGCCTCGTCTTGCTCTTGACGCCTCTCACTGATCTCAATATCTCTCTGTATCTCCTTCCGCTTCAAGTGCTTTCGAATAGTCTCTATCAGCCAGCTTATGACTTTCAAGTCCATGGCTCGGCCCACCGCCGCTCTCCTTTGCTTCTCGGTGACCTGAGATGAGCCGTCGCACCCCATCAGTGCCCCATTGCCAGTTCACGTTCTTCTGCTATGAGTTCCTCCCACCTCCTGCTCCTCACGTCATATACCATCCCGGGCCCTTACACCTCCCCTTCCATGACAAAACCCCTAGCTTCTTCATAAGCTACTAGCGTGGGAAAGGCTTGCCTGGGCTTCCCTGGCACGTTGCCCTGGTGCTACGAGGGGTGGTCCGGGCTTGGAGCTGGCCCCAGGATGTCGCTGACCAGCCTAGGCTCGGGCCGTTGCATTTGTGCCAGGGCGTGCCTGAGGCTAGCTTTGAAGATGCCGTTCTGCCAATATCTGCGCGGCCGGTGGGCTCTGGACCCCAGATGTGCGGCATCCACCACATGTAGGGCAGCTCCCAATCTCCTTTGTTGCCCCCTTCACTTCCAACCCCGTCAAGCTCCCATCCTTCACCAACATCTGCAGCATAGGAATGTTGATATGACACAACCTTTCGTGCCAACGTCTCCCAGTCTGCCTCATCACTCTCAGATGAAGCATTTGCCTATGCACATGTCCCATCCACACCAGCAAGAACATCACCATGTGGCTGCTGCAGTTACTGCACCTTCTTGACTGCATCCAGGGCCCCATCAGTTGGTGCAGTCACATGTTTTCCCGCAGTTGTTTTAGCCGATGCCTCTACCATTGCCGTTGCTGGTGGTTTGCCATTCTAAGGGATGATAGGTAGCTGCCATTGGTCCTTGATGCAGCTGCTCTTCTCCTCCAGATTCCACAGCAGCAACTTCCCAAGCTTTGCACGGCAGCTGGTTGGGCCGAAGGTCACTTCAGCCTTGCTCTTCTGCACTCGGCGCACAGAAAGAAGGTCAACATACAAACCTTCAACCAACAGTACATTCCCAAGCCCCACAAGCTCCCTATTGGCTCCCATCTCCTTGGCATTCCCAACACCAATCACATAGAGCAAAGCACGTGAAGTAGCAGCCACAATCTTGATCTTCCCAAAGGGCTTTACCTCATCAAGCAAATCCGCTTGTGGAGTCACGTGACTTGTGCAACATGAATCTATCACCTATTGAGTGAGGGGGTGCAACACAACTTTCCCAACTGATCCCACATCAACCCCACTCCTTTGCACATCCCCAACCATGAGGAACATCCCAGAGGAGGCTTTACCTTGTGCACCATAACCTTGTGCACCTGAGCCTTGCACAGCACCACCTTGTGCGCGTTCACCACTCGGCGGCTTCGTGCCTGGGGGCGCCCATCCCTCAGGCTGGCTGAAACACTCGAACCATGGATGTCCAGCCTTCTTGCAGTACCAACAGGCTCCTTCCATTTTGGTGCTCCCTCTGCCAAAGCCTCTCCCATGGCCTCGACCTCTTCCACCCCCTCTTCCTCTGTTGCCTCTTGCAGTTGCATACCCCTCAGCAGTCTTGTTGGTAGCACCACCTCCCGTGTGGCGCCTACGGAAGTCCTCCTGGGGAATCTGCTGCCGTAGCGAATCGGGTGTCCACTGGTCCTGCTGAAAGTTGAGGGTAGGTATCTGATTGTCCCATAAGTTGTCCAGCACCGAGATGATCTTGATGCACTGCTGCATCTGTGACACCTTGCTGCTCGCCATTGCCATCCTCACATAGGTGTCCTTGATCTTGTCAAGGACCGGCTTCACATCATCTCCTGGTCGCGTGGAGAGGGCAACCAACTCCTTCTCCAACATAATAACTATGTGCAGCGTGTTGGGCTGAATTATGTCACGCAGAAGCTTCCACGCTTTTGGTCCGGAGTCATCCAACTCCACCAAGTCCTTGATGTGCTGGAACATGTTGTTGACCAATTGTAAAGTGAGGTCAAAAAGCACCGCGCTCCACTCAATCCACCGATTCCGAGTATCTCCTTTATCGAGCATCTTCTGTTCCCCCATCGAAAGTTTCAGCAGCTTGTAGCGCTTGAAGGCGCTCTTCATGCACTCGCCACATTCCTCATAATTGGAGCCATCCAATGCCTCAATCTTGGATGGTGGCGGTTTCGAGCGGCTTTTCAGCTCCCACTCCTTTTTCCAACAGCATCTCCCACTCTCTCATTCATCTTCTCCTGCGAATGATAAGTTTCAGCTCTCCCCTTGCTGTCCACAATGAAGATCCACAAATATCTCACAAGTGTCTGCGCCAACAAGAATTTGGCAGAGTATCCCGTTAGCAGAACTCACATTCAACCTTCAAAACTCCACCTAGGCACACCCACAAGCCATGGTGGGTCTAGAAGAGTCTTGAAACTTCATTAGACTCTTTACAAAGTTCGTAATCAGCTCTGATACCACTTGTTAGGATCAAGGATGGAGTCTAGGAAGAATACAGGCTGAAATAACTCAAAATCGTTGGACTATAATTCTTGACAGAAATGTCGACTTCACAACAAACGACGTCGACATAAAATTCAACGTTCAAACTTCACCAATTGTAGATGTTGTGTTACGGTTCCCAGTTTAGATCGCATGAAAATGTTAAGTATATCTCATGTTATGGATTTTCGGCGCACAGGGGGTATGCTGGAGCTTAAAACTTAACTCCATCACAATATACTCCCAAGAACCACATAAAAGAAATGAAGTGGCTAGAAACCAGGTAGGAGGGGATGAATCTTTACTAGAGTCTTTACAAAGTCCATAATCAGCTCTGATACCAACTTGTTAGGACCAAGGATGGAGTCTAGGAAGAATAGAGGCTGAAATAACTCAAAATCGTTGGACTACAATTCTGGACAGAAATGTCGACTTCACAACAAACGCCGTCGACATAAAATTCAGCGTTCAAACTTCACCAATTGTACATGTGTTACAGTTCCCAATTTAGATCGCACAAAAAGGTGAAGTATATTCCAAGTTATGGATTTCGGCGCAGTGGGAGTATGCTGTAGCTTGAACTTAACTCCATCACAATATTATCCCAAGAACCACACAAGAGAAATGAAGTGGCTAGAAACCAGATAGGAGGGGATGAAGAGGACAAGAGGGAAGATCCCCATGGAGTCCCCAACCAAGCAAACCCCAGAAGCACACACTTGCCCTCCCTATAAGAACCCCACTTTCACTTTTGTCACTTTTCCAACCCATGCCATCCACCTCACCCAACTTGGCCAAACTTGCCAACCTGGTTTGCCTTCTCCCAACCATTTGGCAGCAACTACAGGGAACGTGACGATCTTCCCAACCCCCAGTAGTCTATACCTATCGAGTCACCCTACCAACTTCCCATAGTCGCGACATTGCAATCGAAAGTTCGAACGATCATAACTTTCTCGTTGTTGATCCGATTGCAACAATACTCGGCTGATGAACAGATATGTCATTTCATATATCCGCTCAAGAAAATAAACATTCACACACACTCAGAACGTCCAAACAACGCCAAACATAGATTCTTGCACACATACACACAACGCATGCAACGCTCGAACATGGGATGGGAGGCAGACAGACATGAATGCATATGATAGCATCACATAACAAAGGGAGCAGCATTGAAGACACTGCTCAAGGACGTGAAGACGACAACTATGCTAACGATGTCGAGGACGGACGAGCCGCTCACTGTGTAAACGGACTTGAGCAGCTTGGGGATGGGGGTCATCATGTATCAAGATAGAGAAGGAGAGGAGAAGGTCGCCTTTGCGAGTAGGAGTTGCAATCGTTCAGAAGCCAGATACAGGTCATACGAGGGGGAAGGGCTCGCGGCAGTTTGGGCAGTGACACACTTCAGGGTACATCAGCAGGGCAGGCCGTTCACCCAAATTACTGATCATCAGTCCCCTCATTTGGGTTTTGACCAGACAGGTCCTCACCAGAAGGAACGCAAGGTGGGCCATGCGGCTACAAGAGTACGAGTTCCAGGTTCGGCACCATCCAGGCAAAGCCATGCAGCACGTAGATGGTTTGTCTAGGAACCCTCCCCAGTGCAATTACCGCGGATTTGAGGTGTGCGGAGGGCAGATGATGATACAGCAATGCCAAGGTAGCGGTCCTGGCCAAGCTGACAGTTCCTGAAAACCGCACGACGCTGAGGGCCGTCCTGGGATTTTTTAGCCAGTACAAAAATTTCGTGCCAAACTTCAGTAAATGAGCTACCTGCCTCAACCGGTTGCTGAGGGAAGACCTCACGTGGAAGTGGGGTGAGAAAGAGCAGGGGGCACTACAGGAGCTGCTGGACCTGGTGAAGACCAGGCCAGTGCTGCAGCTGCCGAAGCTTGAGGGTAGATTCACACTCTACACCGACTGGAGCAGTGCGGGCATGGGTGTAGTTTTCGACCAACAGACAGACGGAGGGGAAAGGATGGTGGGATTCGCCAGCCGCAGCTGTAATGCAGCAGAAGCAAACTATAGCTCATACAAGGTGGAAGGCACGGCAGCAGTATGGGTCTTCACACACTTTCGGGTGTACCTGCAGGGACGGGAGTTTACTCTGGTTACAAATCACCAGCATCTCCTCTTACTGCACGGATTCGACTTCATCGTCAAGCACCGCCTAGGCCGCACCCTGCAACATGTGGACTGGCTCTCTCGAAACCCCCCACCCGCAGAGCCAGTAGCAAGCTTGGCCGCACTCGCTCGAGAAGTGGAACGGCAAGGAGGCTGGCAACAGGAGGCTCGGGGAACAGCTGATGTGTAGGCGGACCCAGAGAGGTTGAGGTGGCCCCGGGGACAGACGGAGACAGAGGAGCTGGTTTCAGAAAGGGCGCGAGCACGAGGGCAACACTACCACTCATACGCATGCAAATCTGGACTAGGGAATGATGGAAATTGGTCCCAGCACCAGCAAAACGGGAGAGCATTATCAGAAGGGTGCACCAACTGCTGGCGCACTATGGGCATGTCAGAAA